AGCCGAGCACGTTACCGCTAGGATAACGTTTTATTACAATAAATTATTTTCATTAGGAGTATATATATTGCAAAAGTATTGTTTTAAAAAATTGCTAATTTTTCAATTTCACTGGATATCTTCTGGATTTTCAAATATTCAGTTTTTAAACAATATTACCATTAATTTGCCATTAAAAAAAAAACAAAAAATAGGAATTATTTAAAAAAAAAAAATGAATGTTGGCGGGCTTGAACCCGGGCCTCTGGCGTGCCAGTCGAGCACGTTACCACTAGGACAACGCACCCATTTAAAAATTTAAATTCATTAGTGGTATATATTCAACACATTGAATAATTTTTTTCATTGAAATTCCACAAGATGTGGTTTCCCCCTTCCGTACGTGCTACAGTCGGCTAAATTTCAGTTAAACAAATAAAAAATAAAAAGCATTCATAGCGCAGAGAATAAAATTCACCCCATCGACTTGATGGACACCCCAGCATTGCGCGTTGCGCCCTCCCTCTTGGGGTGCAGTACTACGATGCCGCTGGGGGTCACTCAAACCCCCAAAACTGAGCCTCTACTTCAGTCAACCCTCTTCGGGGTGTATGATTGAAGTGTTTTTTCATTCCAATAAGATTCGGGCGACATCTACTGTCGGGAAATAATCACCAGCGAGTAAAAAAGAGTGCAGGTGCGAGGGGACATTTAAATAAATTGCGATTGCCAGTTGAGGTACGGCACTTTGAACTCATTTTATTTTTCCTTCGTGGAGTCTTTCGTGGGGAACATGGGAATCCTCAACGATCAATTAATAAATTGAAGGACATTCAGTGATCGTTAGACCTTATTTTAAGGTAAAATTTTCATTCATCGACGGGGAAAATTTTCTATTTATACGAATGGAAATTATCGAAGGAGTGCTGACCTCTGAAAAAATTCGTGTTGTTCTTCCTGAGAGATTGTGAAGTTCAGAAGAGGTCATCGTAAAGGCGATATTTTCGCCCGAGTCAGTTAAGCAATAATTTCTCACGAATCATTAATCACTTTGTCAATAAAAAAGAATCCCCAGAATGAACGTGATAAATCGGCGATTTCCCGCTTTCAATTCGTAATGAGAATTTCAATGTTTATTCCGTGTCTCAGCGTTCGTTAGGAATCACTTGAATTTTGCTGTCAACATATAAACATCCTTGACGTAAGTACCAACTTTCTCTTCGGCACATGACATTGACTCAGTGAAAGAACGTCCAGTCGAGAATTAAATAAAAATTTCTGTCTTCTACCACTTGACAACTCGAATAATTTCCCTTTTCTCGTTTTGAATATCAAATTAATTGTTATAAATAAAGTCTGAGACTTTTCCCAGTGAATTGCAGATAGGATTGTAATTTTTTTAAATAAAAAACGATAAATAAAGAAAATTTTGGTTGCGGAATGATTTTTTTGGTATTTTGGTAAATAAATATAAAAATTATTGCACTCTGGGGAGTAAATTCCCAAAATTATCTTTCGTAGATTTTATTTTCAATTAATTTTCCGCAATATTTTTAACAATTCAGGTGATGCTAATTACAAATTGTTAATTAATTATACTTTTTTTCAATTGACAGATCAAAAATTCGGGGATAGAATGATTACTCGCCAGTGGCTCGTGCCTTTTCTCCTGATAATTGCGCCTGGGACGTCAGGTACGACCTAATTAATGACTGCAACAAATAATTAATTAAACAATTATTCATTCTTTCAAATTCCCATTCACACGTGCAATTAATTCGACATGTAAAAATCTGTTAAATCGAATTAAAAAAAAATCTCGTCAATGAATTTTTTAATTAATAAATGAATTCATAAGTTTATAACTTTTTTAATTAAAAAAACTTTAGGATTTACTCTGAGAGACGTCGACATTACGAATTGGAATTATGGAAAAGACTCTGTAGACTTGATAGAGGGAATCCCTGGATCCCTGGATCCATCATCTCCAGTAGTTGGTCGTCTCAGGCGTTCGATACTGGATGTGGGATTCTCCTGTACGATTTGCGAAATAGGTGTGAATTTATTGCGAGTACATACGAACGCAGGCTTGACTGATGAAGAAGTCATGGGACAGATTAAAGTCTTCTGCATGCTCCAGCTTAGTGCAGAAGTCTGCGATGGAGTCAATCGAGTTTTTGCGGTTGGTAGATTCAATTTTCCATTGCAATTTCACTCTCCAATAATTATTATTAACTGCAATAATTATTATTAACTGCAACCAGTATTTCGTATTTAATCCATCAATTTGAAATGTTCTGGGAACTGACAATTTATTTAAAAATTCCGAATGTTAAATATTTTTTCATTTTGTTTTACATTTTCAATTGAATCCTCGCAGTCTCATGGTGACGTTGTAAGTGATAAGTCTGCAATTACCATTATCGCAAGTGTTGTATGGAAATTGAGGTCTGATATGTGGATGGAAAATATGAAAAAACCCCGCGGAAAATTGCGGAATGAAATAATGAGAATAAAAATTTGCGTTCCACTTAAAAACTCGGATTGAATGAATAATAAATTATTCTGGACTCGACTTGTTCTTCACTTCTTTAATAAATGAAATTCTTTCTTCTGCAGCCGGAAGTAATCTACATCCTGAAACGAGTGAAGACGACTTCGAGTCAAATCTGTGGAATGATAATGGGTGACGCATGTAATTACGTGGATAATCCGTCACACGATTGGAAAATTTCTCTTCCTCCGATTAAAAAGCCGCTCCAAGCCTCGGAGATGGCGAAACCCGAGGTAAAGACTCTGAAGGTGCTGCACATTTCAGACACTCATTACGATCCACTCTACGAGGAAGGGGCCAATGCAGACTGCGGTGATCCCCTCTGCTGTAGAGCCAGCAGTGGGCGACCCGCGAGTCCTGGAGCTGGTGCTGGTAAATGGGGAGATTACAGAAAGTGTGACACCCCAAAGAGAACCCTCGATCACATGCTCCAGCACATTCAAGAGACTCATCCAGACATCGCGTACATCATCTGGACAGGGGATCTGCCACCGCACGACTCCTGGAATCAGACTCGCGAGGAAAATCTCGACAATCTCCGAGCCACAGTAGCCGAGATGACAGAGGCTTTTCCAAATGTCTCAATCTTCCCCGCCCTCGGGAATCACGAGAGTGCACCAGTCAACAGCTTTCCAACTAAGTACGCTCCATCGGAATACAATATCTTCTGGTTGTACGATGAATTGGATAAGCAGTGGCAACGGTGGTTACCACGCGGTGCATCTGGTACTGTGAAACGTGGTGCTTTCTACTCGGTTCTCGTCAGACCTGCATTCAGAATAATTTCGGTCAACACGAATTATTGCAATGATAAAAATTTCTGGCTGTTGATTAATAGTACGGATCCGGCTGATGAACTCCAGTGGCTGATTGATGAGCTTCAGGGTGCGGAGAACAGAAGCGAGAAGGTACACATCATTGGGCACATGCCACCAGGCACCTCTGAATGTCTCAAAGTCTGGTCTGCCAATTATTACAGGATCATCAACAGGTGATTGACCAAAATAGATAACCAGTGGAAAGGCTTTTTTCTTTATTATCCCCTTTGTTTCGATCAATGACACCTTCCATTGTATTTATCTTTTCACAGATACGAGTCAACAATAGCCGCCCAATTCTTCGGTCACACCCACTACGACGAGTTTGAATTATTCTACGACATGAAAAATATCACACGTCCAGTGAGTGTTGCGTACGTCGGTCCATCAGTCTCGCCATATGAGAATCTCAATCCTGGATACAGAATATATTACATCGACGATGATGAGGCATCACCAACGAGGCAGGTAGTCGATCATGAGACCTGGATCATGAATCTCGACGATGCTAATTTCCATGATTCACCAACCTGGTATAGATTGTACAGCGCCAGGGATGCCTACGAGATGTCTTCCCTGCGTCCTGATGACTGGAACTCCCTCATCAACAGGATGATCGATGATGCAGATCTTTTCTACGTTTATTACAAACACTACCACAAAAATTCCCCTGTCAGACCGCGATGCGACACCAAATGCAAAAAACGATTGCTCTGCGATTTGCGAAATGGTCGAAGTCGAGACAGAGATTTATTCTGTCGAACTATCAACCAGAGAATCGATAGCCAGTATTTTTTCAATTGGCGCAACTTATTCCGCATTTAATCTAGTTCCACCTATAGAAATTCTTAGTGATAACTCAGTGAAGTTTTCAATTGAAATAACAATTCCTTCCTAATTTTTAAACAATTGCTGCAATCAAAGACAATTCAATTTTTTAATTCTATAATCGACAGTTCGATTCTCGACAAGACTGAAAAATTCGATTCATCTCAATTTATCATTTTGAATGTTGATTTATTTTCTACAAAATACTGAATAATCAAATAAATATTTTTTTTTTCAAATTTTTTGTAAACTCAAAATTTTTTTGGTGCATCCGAACACCTCGGAGTGGGGAGTCATGGCTGCACGCGAGAAGCCATGAACGTTCATTGACCACGTGAACAATCTCCTTTTACTATAGATATTGCTTTACGCATTTACCAGTTGATGTAATTAAACCCGAGCAGTCACGCGACGCCAGTCAGTCCCCAAACACAAGTTCACCCCAAAATTCCTGTGAATATCTCCTCTCCCTGGGGCCCTCGATAAATAAAAAATTTCTAACATCGCGGTACGACTTTTTAGCAATCACTCATCAATTGGTGAATGCGCAAAAAAAAAGCGCAATTATTCTCAATTGCGTAATTGTGTTTGTGAGTAGTTGCTGTCATGCAGACGCTGTGAAGCAAGCGGTAATAACTGTTTCTGGTAATTTTTTAACTTATTAATTAATAATCCGTGGAATTTTTGAAATTGAAATTTAGCAAATGTTGACTGGAGTAGTGGGAATGGAGTTTTTATCATTTTTATTTGTAGCGATTTGTTTCTGGGGGGATAACAGTATTTTTGGTATATTGTGAGGGATTCAGTAACTGTAGACGAGAACTTGATCTTCAGGAACATGTGAAAACCCAGAGGCTTGTATAACTGAGTCGGTTTCACGGCTTGTCCAATAGAAAATGAGATTTCAACGCGCGCGCTACTCGGAGACCGAAATTTGAGAAATGGTTTAATACTCCTGAAATGCCCGAGTAAAGTCTACGCAACTTGAGAATTGAATTGTATTTTAATGTATATTTTCTCACCCGCAGAATTTTCTGATTGAAATATTGTAAAAATGGGACAACAAAGAAAATTGATGACTGGGCTATTTTTCCTCGGGTTTATGGTCCTGCAGAGTTCAGGTGAGATTTTTTTTTCTTTGATTCTCATCCTGGATGTGGATTGAATGCAATCAGGAAAATAAATGATTCCAGTGACTCACAATTTGATTTATTGCCAGGAGTTGTCATTAATCGACCGATCGAGACACTCAATTTCTCATCAGAAATGGAAAAGACCTTCGAGAGCGATTCGGAAAAAATTTCCGCTTCCGTTAATGAAGGACGGATCGGGGACACAGATAGAGTGAGTTCTATCCTTTGTGAATTAAGAAAAATCCGAAGAAAATTTTGAACCGTTAATTCTCGGTCGGAGGAGTACAAAAATACCCGACAAATAGCTAAAAAAAATTGTTCATTTCACAGGAATATGATTTAGATTTAGAGTCGCCAAGAAAATTTTAATTATTGCTCAAAAGTGCGAGGTGAGAGCGCCGCCATTTTGCGCTCCCTTCGCGCGATGATTTAAAACATGGCGGCTTCCAGATTAATCCACCTCGCAGTTTCAGGCATCGATTAAAATTATTTATTTTCTTCAAATCACCTGCAACTCGAGTCATTTTGTTTCTGTAAAGTGAACAAATGCATTGAGCTCTTTACGATGACGATTTTTCTTCATAGAAAAAAATTCCAGGTGAAGGTAACGAAACTAGTATGGACTGCGGAAGATGGAAAATGGCCGGATGAAGGGTTAGGGCCATCGAGACTCAGGAAGTTCGGATCAATATTCGATAATATGGACTGCTTTGGCTGTAATGCCGCAATATATTTCGTACAAAATATAATTAAGACGGTGGGTGCACTTGACGATAAAACTGGCCGTACTCTTGTCAGAGAAGCTATCATCACGGGATGTAAGGCACGTCTGAATAGTGAAGTCTGTAATGGCCTCGTCGAAGAATTCGTGCCTTCATTGTACTACATCTTGAAGACGACGAAAATGGGGGCCAAGGAGACATGCAGTTTTATAATGAGCAACGAGTGCGAATATGTCCCTGACTCCGAGTACGAGTGGAACGTGCGTTTTCCCCGGATTCCAAAACCAGCGGTTGTCGATTTGACTACACCAAAGACAGGAGTAAAACGCCTGAAGGTTCTACAGCTATCGGACATTCATTACGATCCGTATTACCAGGAAGGAGCGAATGCCAACTGCGGCAATCCTCTCTGCTGCAGATCGAGCAATGGCGAACCACAGAATCCTAGGGATAGGGCGGGGAAATGGGGTGATTACAGAGGATGTGACACCCCGAAGAGAACGCTTGATCACATGTTGAAACACATACAGACTATTCATTCCGATATTGATTATATTCTGTGGACAGGTGATCTTCCTCCTCACGATATTTGGAATCAAACGCGCGAGGGAAATCTTCAAGTCCTTCGGGATATAATGGATGATTTGAAAATAGCATTTCCTAATGTGACAATTTTCCCCGCTCTCGGTAATCATGAGAGTGCACCAGTCAATAGCTTTCCAACTAAGTACGTTCCATCGGAATACAATATCTTCTGGTTGTACGATGAATTGGATAAGCAGTGGCAACGGTGGTTACCACGCGGTGCATCTGGTACTGTGAAACGTGGTGCTTTCTACTCGGTTCTCGTCAGACCTGCATTCAGAATAATTTCGGTCAACACGAATTATTGCAATGATAAAAATTTCTGGCTGTTGATGAATAGTACGGATCCAGCTGATGAACTCCAGTGGCTGATTGATGAGCTTCAGGGTGCGGAGAACAGAAGCGAGAAGGTACACATCATTGGGCACATGCCACCAGGCACCTCTGAATGTCTCAAAGTCTGGTCTGCCAATTATTACAGGATCATCAACAGGTGATTGACCAAAATAGATAACCAGTGGAAAGGCTTTTTTCTTTATTATCCCCTTTGTTTCGATCAATGACACCTTCCATTGTATTTATCTTTTCACAGATACGAGTCAACAATAGCCGCCCAATTCTTCGGTCACACCCACTACGACGAGTTTGAATTATTCTACGACATGAAAAATATCACACGTCCAGTGAGTGTTGCGTACGTCGGGCCATCAGTGACGCCATATGATCGTCTCAATCCTGGATACAGAATTTATTACATCGACGATGATGAGGCATCACCATCGAGGCAGGTTATCGATCATGAGACCTGGATCATGGATCTCGAGAAAGCCAATGCTCGTGGCTTTCCCACTTGGCGCAAATTGTACAACGCTAAACGCGCGTACGGAATGCAATCACTTCAGCCGAGGGATTGGGATGCATTGCTCGATAAAATGATTGATAATCCCAATATATTTTATCTGTACTATAGGTTCTATTACAAAGACTCACCTGTTCGTCCTCAATGTGATATAAATTGCAGACAGCAACTCCTGTGCGATATTAGAAGTGGGCGCAGTCGTGACAGAGAAGTTCTCTGTCCAAATCTCCAACAAAAATTGCAAGAGGTCCCCCACAAAAAATTCGTAATTGACGAAATACTTTCCAACGAGATCGACGCTCATGTCACATAATTACTGCAATTCTGCAATTATTCCAAAGATCATTACTGCCACATTTATATTTCACTCTCTCATTCTCCGTTACATGACATTTTTTACTTCTATTTTTTTCTTTAGAGATTAACTCAATTTTTGCGGTAATAATTAAAAGATCATTAAATGATAATTACGATAATTATAAATAAACTTAATAGATAAACCGTTGCACTTTATCAAAAGAACTATGTGAAGAATTATTTCTCCCATTTTTTTCCGATTTTAAATACTTGGAATATTTATCATTTATTGTTTATACATTTGGGATGTCATTCAGGCCGTCAGGAATAACTCATGAGTATTTTTAAAGATTTTTTACTGTGCAATTTAAAAGAATACAGTGGAACAAAGAACAACCTTGAAATATTTTCGTGAAGAAAGCTGATAGTAGGAGTAACAAACATAAAAATGATAGTGCATTTATTTAGATAAAGTTTTTGGAGTGGGAGTGCTTGGGATGGAGAAATCAAATTTTTCCCGCGTCGAGACTAGTACCAAAATGCCGGGCCCTAGGGTCCCCAGGTGGAACTCCAGTGGGTACTTGCGCGCCACTTGCAAAAACTTGGTTATGAGCCCCTTCAAACCCTAAATGGCGGCTTTGCAATTACAATGTAGTAAATTAAATCCCATGAGTGCTGTGAATTAGAGCCTTGAAGAAGCTCCCCAGATGTCTAATGACAGTGAAGTGCTCGGTAGACCTCCACACTCGCCTCGGACCCAAAAAATTCCAAAATCTCAACGTCCAGAGGGCAATTGGTCAATCACAAATTCTCAGGCAACACTCGGTACTAACGATTGTCAACGCAACGTGCAATTCGCATCAACAAACCTCTGGATTGCCGACAACAAATTCATCAAAGACAGAAATAGCGATTTCAGCGAGGTTGAGTCCATGATTATCGCATCCAGAGGCTGGAATGGATATCACGTGAGTAAAAACGCCTCAATTATCCCGAATCAATACGGAGCATTAATTAATATCAATCGAAATTTTCAATCGCTATTTTCCTCGACAAATTCACGTCAATCTGTACAAATTCCTCAATAAAATTTTGTAAATCATTGTTGTGGTTTTTTCGTAATATTTTCCCTGAAGAAAGCAATATATCTGCAGACAGCTCCAAAATCGGAAGAGAGTCAGAAGCCGCCGAGGGGTCATTCAAAGACAGTGGAGGACATCGAGAAATGGTTGAAGACACGTCCAGAGTCAGCCCCACTGGATTCCCTGAAGCCAGAGCTGGAGGCAGTGGATAAATACCTGTCACCATTTCTCTCGAAGGATCAGGACCTGATCGACATCGACTACCCAGACAAAAAGCTGTCCCTCGGGTACGATCCACCGTACGATCAGTTCCAAGATCTCCACAATGAGAAGTACCTTGAGGTATGCAAGGATGGCTTCAGCCTCCCAGAGTTTCAGTTGGACAACGATATGGTGGTGGCCGGTGAGATTCTTCCCTCGACGAGCACACAGCCGGATTTTCAAGACCTTGAAGAGCCCCAGGAGGAGCCAGAACACCCCAGAAATCCACCGGTACCGGATTTTGCCCTGACGACCCCTCAGGAAGACGTGGGTAATAACCAATCGATCTCTGATGACGACGTGCTCACTCTCGAGGATTTCAGGCCAGTCATGGAGAGTGAAAAGCCCTTGACCCCTCCAAATCCCCTTGTGAGGGTGGAGGAGGCACTGCCTGAGGTGAAGATCGAGCCCAGAATCACGAAGAAACGGAGGAAAATTGTGAAGATCCAGGAGAAGTGCTTGAAGTACGAAGAGGAAAATGTGAGGACTGACAAGGATGGGATCATGGCGGTGGTGGCGATATCCACGGATAAAATCTCCAACATGACACAAATCGTCATCAACACTGGAAAAGAGGAGCAGATCTACCAGGGGAAGACGTCAGAGCTCATGGAGGCAACTGGTTATTTTTCCAATATTCCCATGATCGATGGAAGTGGATGGGGAAAGGAAGGAGGAAGCAGCAGCCACGAGGTCATCATCACGAATGCTCTGGAGGAGCTGGGATTTACCGAGGAGGGACTCCTCTCCAAGGCCCTAACTGTCACCGAGAGTGGAAAGACCTGGATCTGCCCCAGGGAGGACTGCAGCAGAGAATTCAATCGACTCTATGCTCTCAAGGGACATCTCCTTGCCCACTACGGTGTGAGACCCTTCAAGTGTGATTACGAGGGCTGCACCTGGGCATTTTATTCTGATTTCAAGCTCAAACGCCACAAGGAGACTCACCTGAAGCGAAAGGATTACGTGTGTCAGGTGCCAGATTGCAATCGTCGTTTCACCACAGTTTACAATTTGTGGACCCACGAGAAGCTCCACAGTCGACCCAATCGTATCCCCTGTCTGGTCCCCGACTGCGTCGAACGTTTCCAGACAAAACGAGCACTCGAGATTCACATGAAGTCCCACGATCAGAAGCACGCACCCTACGTGTGCACTCACGAGGGCTGTGGAAAGCGTTACTACAGCTCGAATGCCTTCACCTCGCACCAAAAATGCCACAGCTACAAGGAGGAGGAGGTGAAATGCGGATGGATTGGGTGTGGTAAAGTCTTCGACAAGCCCTGTCGACTCAAGGCTCACGTCAGGTGTCACACAGGCTCGAAACCCTACTCCTGCGCTTATCCTGGCTGCGAGTGGGCGTTCTCATCGTCCAGTAAACTCAAACGACACGAGAAGAAGCACACGAATGAGAGAAAATTTCCCTGTGAATTTCCAGGGTGCAGCAAGGCTTTCATGAGGTCTGAACACCTCAAGGAGCACAGGCTCACTCACAAGGAGGGGAGGTCAGTGAATTTTCAAACTCTATGGAGATATTTAATTGATTGAATTTAATTTATTTATTTATTCAGCGATTTAATGGATTTTAATCAATTCACGTTCATAATTCCCTCAGATTTTTCCGCTGCTACATGTGTGATGCGAGTTTCTCTGCTAAAAGCAGTCTCTACGTCCACATAAAGAAGCACCAGAACAGGGAGAGCAACGGAATTGTCCAGAATTCCAGAGTAAAAGTGTTGCAGAGACAAATGGAGGACTCCGAGAGTGTCAAGACCATCTGCAACGAACTCTCAGTTAGACTGGAATCCTCAGCCCCTGAGGCGATCCTCCAGGAGTCCCTGGAGTGCCCAGGGGAAGATCAGAGTGATGATTACGCTGGGAAAATCCAGGTCGACCGTGGAGAACTTCCCAGAAGGATTTGCCCATCGAAATTGTCGTTGAAGCCTCGAGAAGAGGGGAATGACGATCTCAATTATGTTTTTTATGAGTGCCAGGTGCAACAGGGAGAAGTGGTGGAAGGAATTGAAGGAATTGAAAGAGTGGAAGGGGTGGAAGGGGTGAATGGGGAGGAAGGAGAGGCAGCCGAGGCAGGAGAGGTGGGATCTGCGCCTGAACCTGAACCACCACCGAGGATTGCAAGAGGTAGGAGGGGACAGGGCGCTGCGAGGACTGGACTTACGTGTGAGGATGTCTGGAGGATGAAGAGGAGAAATATTGGTCTGAATTGTGTGGGACCCTGTGATGTTGTCCTCGGTGGTGGTATAATTGCCGAGGAACTGATGATCGAGGAGGAATTACCCTCTATGTTCTATCAGGAGGATCTCGGAAACGAGTGCCAGGTACTCCTGATGGAAGGGGCCGAGGGGACCATTGGGCTGAGACTGGAGTGATGAATGTATCTGTGATGACTGGCCGGTGTGGATGTATATTGTCGATAGCATAAGATTTTTTCACTCTGAATGGTTATTTTGTATTAATAAATGTTGATATTTTTGGATAGCCGGTGGTGGACTTTATCCCCGAAACTTTCAGACTCTGCAATAAAATCCCGTGGAGATGATGCTGCACTCGTCCAATGGTGAGTAATTGAATAAATCATTGATCATTTGATTGTGGGAATTAATTGCGGATGAGGGAATATTGAAGAGACTTTTGTGTATCATTTTATATCATTTATGGAAACATTAATAAGAAGAATATCTTTAATTCTTTCATTAAAGAATTTTCATTGATAATCCTAAAATAAATCGTCAGGATCATTCGAGGGTATTACATAAATCATATTTTACCAATAAAAATGATATCTCCGTTACTTTACGTTCATTAACTATTATAGAAAGTAGAAAAATTTTTATACAAATTGAGATAAGGACAAAGTATTATTATTAACTTGGGATTTTTAACGTTTAAAGTCATTTTATTGAATATCCAGTGGATACACTAGGGGGAATTGGAGCACCTACACATGGGAAATGTATTGGCAGGAGTTTTGGAGATCAAAACCATTTCATTTGAACTGCTTCACTCGTTAATTAAAGTAATAAATGATGATTGACAGTTCTTGTTACGTTGGGATATGCATTTTCATCGATTTTCAAGATGAAAAATAAATCTCAAACCGCTACTTTGTCCTTATGCTTTGGTTTATCGTCATGTTATTAAGTCAAGTAATTGTTAATTTTTAACGTTTAATTATTATTATTTATTGCGGTGGGTTTAATATAATGCCATCACGAAATTTTTCCACACTGAAATGGATTATTAGTCTTGGGAATGGGGTGGCTCGTATTTATTTATTTATTTTTCTTCATGGACCTCTGCATCGGTTTATGCAAAATTCTTATCAATCCCGTGGACAAATATTCTCAAAGAATATATATGAGTTTATCTTCAGCTTATTTGTATTATCAATCGATATTACGGTTATATAATCCGTTATATTAATAAGTTGAAGGGAATTAAGAAATTCATTCTTTTAGATTTAGGTTTATATCTCGGGATCTGTGGCAGATGGAAAAATTTTTACTCCACCTTTTTTGCAACTTTTTTTTTTCTCTAGAAATAAGTTGATTATGAATATTTCGGTTTTTTCATTCGATTGCGAGATATTCTCAAAAAACTAGTCGACTAGGATTAAAGTTGTTTTGAAATCTTTTTGTGTTAATCCAGTGATTATTTCGAGAACGAGTGGTTGTAGAGGAAAATGTCGTAAGAACTTTATCTTGGAAATTTTACGCTCTCGGACAAGTTTTTAGTGACTTTTTGTCGTGGTGCCACTCGTTACCGAGATAATTGCGGTTTTAACTGGTGAAAATTGAATGACGAGAGTAATTGTGGTTTTTGGGTTAAAATTGTTAAATTCCTTTGTTCCCTTCAACGGAAAGGCATGAGTATACACAATCAGCGTTTAATATCTTGTAATCTCTCTATCAGGATGAATAAAGCAGGGAGAAATGTCGAATGTTAATCAACAATAGTTAATTTTGCCAATTGGCTATCACCCAGTCTCGGATTATTCTACCACTACGGTATCGTTGGAGTAAGCTGTACACTTAATAACTGAATTATATCGAACATTTTGGATTCAAATGATCGGAAAATGTCTCATTAACGACCGTAAATCAATCGTTCAATTGCTCTCGGCACCATTTTTTCGTTTGTCTCTCGTTGCATCGTTTAAAATGAAAATTCACTCGTTTCGGAAATATAATCCTCTTCTTACTAATTATTTAATCGTATTGTTCGCAATCGGGGGCTTGGGAGATGTATGTGGTGATAAAAAATAAATTACATCCATACAAAAACGCGTACTAGGTAATTATATCTACATTTCAGAAGCAAAACAGTAAAATTCTCCGAGCGAATTTCAGCGAGTCCCCGATTTTTGCGCAATATCTCAGAATCCAGAGAAGATATCAAAATAATTATTCAGACTTTTTTGTAGCTCATGAAATTCTGCACAAAAAAGATTCTAAAAAAATTTCAGTATCTCTCTCGGATCTCCAGATATTGAGGGCCTGAAATCCACTCGAACACCTGCACCTCTTTGCTACTGATTTTCGTTATTCGATGTATCATTCGTATTTTGTAATCATTTTTTCGGTATTATGACGTGCATTGTGCGATTACAAGTTTATTACTGCATGACGACTAGAAGAAATTTTTTTTTTATCGAGGGGAAGGGCGTATACATCTGCATTGCTAGCTAGACACAGAATTAAAAAAAAGGGAAATAATGATTTCCCTGCGATTTAGAAGATTAATCAAGTCCTAGTGGTGATATTTAATAGAGTGGGGGGGAAATTCTAGATGATTATCTCCTGTGGGATTGGTCATCAACTGTAGAAAGCACAAATGTCTCGTAAAATTGGAATTCCCTCGAAATTCATCATCAATTCACTTCTCTTTGTAAAAATTCGTTACAAACATTCTTCAAACGTACCTTCAAATCGTTAAAGAACCTACGAAAATATGGTCACACGTTAACACAATTATTCCATTACGCATTAAAAAATTCCCTGTATATAATACCTACGATATTTCTTGTTTATCCACATCGAGAGCCAATATTCGGTAGCAAAATTGAAAAAAAGATAAATCGAGAGTCTGTTTTTCAGGAATATCTTTAAATCTATGGGTGATACAAGAATTCTCACAGGAACTTTTTTCCAGATCTCGTAATTCGTGAAAAAAAAGTTCCCCTGAAGAATTCCCCATCTCCCATCGATTCCAGTCTACCCTCCAAAAATCAAACCACCCCCTCAACAAATCGAATTCCCTCCCTCACTGGATCGTCGGTTTTCGCCGATTACCTCGGAATCTATAACCCTCACGAGAATTTTTTCGGGAGCTTTTTTGCAGCTCTGAAAATTCCCCACAAAAAAGTCCCCTTAGAAAATCCTCCAGCTCCCTCCTGAACCCCAATAAAATCCCCCGAGGAAGGATTAATTCGCCTGACCCTCAGAATTACTCTGTACCTGTTTCTCAATTTTCCTGGCGAGTTCAGGACTCATGTGCGGATGTGGAAAAGGCATAACCGGTTTCCTCAATATCGTAGGCTTAACCTTGACCTGTGGTTTGAAGGAAGACACTTGCTGGCTACCACCAGTCAGTCTCATATCAGCGAATTTAGCAGCAATAAGTGGTGTCGACCTCGGTGGCAGTGGAGAACGCATTGGCACATCATTGCCAGTTATTTCACTGCTACTGGCCGACCTGACGATCTCACTGCCCTCACCCTGATCCTCATCATCAATAAGACTCTTGATTCTCTCCGAATTTCCCCCATTGGTTTTTGTGTTTTTCTTCAGGGTGCACTGATTCTGCTTGGCAAACCTTTCCGCTGTGCTCATGTCAGGTGACTCTGGACCCTGCGAGGGATTTGGAAGGACTGATGACTCATCGTCCGAGCTGCTGAGACTCGATGACGATTTTTTGCTGTCATCCTGAGGTGTCAGGGGTAAATCCATCACCAGATCTGGTGTATGTTTTTGACGCATGTCCCGAAATTCCTGGAGTACTCGGAAGGACTTTGGAGGCGTCGGTGGCACCAGATTGCACTGAGAGGTCGCACGTTTCTGCCAGAGCTCTCGATTTGCTGAGAATGTTTTTGTCTCGGGGCTATCGTCCTGGGGTGGCGAACCCTCCAGAACACTTTGGGATTTCCACTGCTGCTTTCGAGAAATTCCTCGGGGCTGGGCATCACCTGGGATGTCCTCCAGGGACGGCTCTGGGTCACTCGATGTCGAGAGGGCGTCCAGGAAGTCGTTGACACTTCCGTTCTCGTCACGAAGGGCGCAGTCGGATGGGAATTCACTCGATGGTGTCGAGGGCTTCCCTGGGACTTCCTAGAATTTTTCAATTTTTTTTTTCTTTTTTTAGAGTTTTTGTCCTGTGGGGGTGGAGAATGGGGGATTGTGAAGGGGGTGAAATCGTCGAATGGGGCATGCGAATTTTAGAATTTTCATGCGATTTTTTGAGACGGAGGGGCCCAGTGGGGGACGAAAACTGTTCGAGCAAACTGGGACTTGGGTGGGGGCAGGTGGGAATTGTTTGGGGGGTGATTTTATTGAAGGGGTGAGCACAGAGGAGAAAAATGTTGTTTAGATTTTTTCGAGGAAATTTAATTCTCTAGAAAAAAGGTCATATGAAGTTTTCTCCTAAAAGCAATAATTTTCTAGATGCAGGTGATAATTGGAAGAAAGTCCTTTCTCTTTGATTTCTACGAATTCAGTGAACACATCAATTTTGCTAATTAACTTGATAACGAATGGCCGTATGATAAAACTCAATTATCATTTTCTGTTAGAAATTGAGTGCTCTACAAAAAATGTCATGTGGATTTTCATCGTAGAGTTGATAATTTTTTATAAAAAAGCGAATTGGAAATAGTAAAAGTGAATTTTCCTCTGTACTCAGGTGAAATAATGCAATGAATGAGAGTAAAAATGCGGAGGAGATGGAGGTCAATGAATTACTCACCCAATGAAAATATTTATAAACATTTCTTTCATTTCTCAAAGTTTATCCGTGCTGTCTAAGACGTATCTGCTATCGGCATTCCCTTTGGTATCGTCTACAGACTGAGTTTGTTCTACAGGACTCTATGGGATTGCACAAAACCAACTGAACAGTCAATTCGACACTCCCTCCCCTCCGTTAAAAAAAAAATACATCCAAAAACATGAAATCACCGAACCAACAAAATTTCATAAAAACAACACACAATTGCACAAAAATTAACACTTTGTTTGTTTATTGGTCAGCAGTTTAATCGAACAGTTTTGTTTTTTTTCTCTAAATTTTAATTTCCTCGAATAGTCTTAGGGGCCTAAGCGATTAATATCTCTCAGACCTAAACATAAATCTGGAAAACAGAGTAAATAATGTGAAAATAATATAAATAACCCAAGATCCACTTGCACAGGCATTCGACAGAACAAGAGCAGAAAAATAGATAAATTATACTTATCGATTAAAATACAACACAAGTGGCGAACATGCACGGGCTTTGATATATTTTAGTTCTTTTTTTATTTACAATTATCGTACAGAGTTTACTACTGAACTAAAAGGGGCTGTCGCTTGTCCTAAGGATTAATTAATCCGTCAGTCCCTGCGAGTCGTTTTATTCCTTGGTGGGGAGGATTTTGTGAATTTGTAAAAAAAAATGAGAAAAATTCAGTCTTATCGGTGATGAACTCGTGGTTTACAATATTTGGGGACAGAGAGGAATTCATCCAGAATATTAAATCCAGAGAAATGAGAATTGAGAGTTTAATAAAAAAAAATAGACGATAAATTCCTCTCGATCTCGATGAAACTTGAAGCAGTGCATTGTGCTTTTTTTGCCAGCGAAAATTCATGCATCTGCGATACGAGGAGCTTGTCTCGAGGCCAAGCATAAAAAAAAATATAAAAAATAGAATTCTTTTCATTTTGTTTTTGATGTGCTAAACTGTTGTTTCCAATACCTCTCGACTGATGAGCGTTTGCGAGGCACAGGCTGTGCTCCCCACTGTCATCGATATAATGGCATTGTTGGGAATGACTTCGGTATGTTGAGGAGCCCCGGAAGTCGTTACAGTGTCTGATGCATTTGTCGTAGGCCATGCATTGTTGTGATTGCTATTTGGTCCCATCAGAGGTGAATTATTGCTCGAGAGAGTGCTGTCTGCTGAGCTTGATGCTCGTCTACGCATTGACTCTTCACTGGAGGACTTCAACAGGTCTTTGTCACGCTCTTCATCCCTAAATAAAAATAATAATAAATCAAACCTCATTAATTTATCACAATTTTTTATTTAATCGTTGTTTACTGGTTGATCCACTCACTTTATCTTGAGCATTATATATTTATCAGGGATGAGTCCCTCTCGTCCACCCACCGAGCCCCTCCACCAGTCATAACTCACTTGCATATAAAGAGTTATGGTATCACCTTTTTTGAAACTCAATTCACGCTCTGATCGTGCGTTAAAATCGAATTGAGCTGTTGCCTCAAGATTTTCTGATTCTGCAACAATAATTTCCATTCATTGAAATTATTTCAGTTAAATTCCAAATCAATTGAGTCAAGATGAAATGGATAATAAAATATAAATCCAAAAAGCCTCACCATCCTCAGAGGGATAGACCTCGGAATCCATATCCTCTTGAACTTGTTCAGTGGGCGAATCCCCCACGTCCCTGAAAATAAAATAAATATCAATCAACAACAGTCGAAATTTTTTCCACTCCAAGTGCAATGAAAACGGCGATTGAACTGTCCGTCAAGTGTCAAAAAATAAAGAAAATAATAAAGAGATAATAAAAAAGCCCTGAATAAACTCCACTCACCCGTCATCTGGTTCTCTGCTGATGTACTTCTCATACTGAATGCCCCCGATGTCATCAGGGAATATCTCCTCGCAGAATGTTATAATATTCTTGATAAGTTCATTGACCTGATTCTGATACTGCACCTGATCCTTGTCTTCAGGTACAGGAACGAGTGTAGGGCCAAAGCAAATAGCGAGATTGTACGGATCCATCATATTCTCATCAGAGAACTCCGAGAGATGATTGAGAAAAGCAAAGAGATACCGCATAACGATAACAACAGGTCTAGAAAGACTGGATATGAGTTCCTTCATCTTGAGTACAAATTCCTGTTTGGATTCTAGTTGTGCGAGCTCCATGAGATGCTCAAAGTATATAATAGGAAAGAGTGGTTCCCTGAGTTCTCTGAGATATAGTTTGAGAACTCCAGCGACAGAATTGATGTCGGAGGCATCGGTGACATCGGCCAGAGGGTCCTCCCCACGTTCAAACCACTCTCTAAAATTATTTATCTCAACCTGTGACCCTGAAACTCGGAATATTCCCTGATGGTGAAGCCCATAAAGATTTATCACTCTTATGCAGCTCTTGACGATGAGGGGAATCTCCTGGTTCATCGTCTCCAGATATTCCTCGAGTGATCCCCCGAATAATTTTGGCTGTCCATTCATCTGGAGACGACCAATTCTTTTTCTACGCGCCTGTTTCTGTTTGGAGGTGGATATCGAGGGATTGGGACTGGCATTTGAGCCATCCTGGAGAGACTGACGGATATACTCCTGCTTGGCATCGAGTCGAGCTATCCTAGACGTCCCTAACAGATACTCCCGGAATTTCATGAGGTAAAAGTCCTCAGTCTCCTGTCTGTCTGCGCGTAATTTAATCTGTACTGTCTCTGGTGGTTTCGATGTTGGCACTGAATTATCACCAAAATACCTGGTGCAATCATAATCCTTAGCTGTCAGCATCTCCAGGAGACTGGCTTCAGCCGTTTCAAGGGTCTTCCAGACCTCCTCAGACTCGGTCCTCAAGGAGGTCACCCTCTGCTGGAGCTGCGTCAGTCTCTGCTCCATCTCAGTGTGAAGAATCTTCTGGAGTTCTGGCTCGTGGGCGTCGTCACCGCGTTGACACTGGAATTCAAATTTCTTGGGGATCATGAAGGCGGCGTGATGTGACTCCAGGAATCGCTGCTTGTCAGCCCTCGAGTCCAGGGAACCGACGCACGCAGCTAATTGTTCAGCACCTGATTGCAGCGATCTTTGTCTACCCTCTTCTGCACTGCAGTGCATCAGGAGGGCCCGGGCGATGCAATTGTGAAAGCCAAAGTCCATGCAATCGATCAGATCAGACAGATCGTCCACAAAGTATTTGTGAATTGTTGTGTTTGAGGCCTCCAAGCAGAGAATGTACTCGTTGCGAGCTTTCAGGGCTTTCAATTTCGCCTCCGTGTACTTCGCCTTCCTCTGGAATTTCAGGATTTAACAAAAATAATTTCACCCGTCAGGAATTACTCCCGGATTTTTAAGAAGGGCGCGTGAAAAATGGCGCTCAGTAGAGTCAAATGGAGTTCCGGTGTTCAGGTGTTCAGGGGTTCAGGGATTCATGCGCTCAGGAAAATTCAGGAAGTTCACGCGTTTTTTTTTGGTTCGTTATTCAACTTGGAATGGTAATTTGCATTATTCGGTTATGAACAGTACAATAAAACGTACGAGTCTACAATGTTCTTCCCCTAATTGCGGTTCTCTGATTACTCCACTTAACCACAAGAATTTATCGGCAAACGTCTCAATTCTGCTGACACGTTTACAACCGAGCATTCCTTGCTACTTTGAGATCCCGTTAATGTTGTTATCGCTTTGCATCAAGTCATCTCGGGACTGACCATCTGGGATGATTAATCATCGTCAGAGCGTCTCAATGTATCGCGTTGTTTTTCCTCTTATCTGCCAACCCCCCAGCCTAATCACCGCAAAATGTATTCAGTTCTATCTCGACATCGACAAGAGATACCAAAATATCATATGAATATATTTTGTAGCTCGCGAAATTTCCCGCAAATTTTTCCTTTCACATTTTCCTTGAAAATCAGGTGTTCTCTCAATAAATCGTTAGGTAGTCTTGAAAATTTATGAAATGCATGGACCGGCTTTGGGCCAAAGGGTTAACTTGGTTTTAAAAAAAAAGTGGTCGCGGGAGCAATCGGGCCAATGACGCAAATACCTAATTCAGACATCCTGGAGCTGTGGCCTGAATCCACCCGAGACCTGCAGTCCACTATTCCATATCTGTTTAAATATTCATCGCGCAAAAAATGATAACGACCAAATGGGGATCCGTGGAATGAAATAAAGGCTCTGCGCGCATTCTCTGGTCTATTCTAGCTGGAGTTTATTCAACATCCGTTACGTGTCATGAAAACGCCCTCGCGCTTCCTCGTGAGATATATTCGTAGGTAAGAATTTTCCAACGGAGGAAAACCCCTTGGGAGGCGAAAAATAATTATTTCATCCGAGTCAAATAAATTTCATGCGATCAAAACGAATTGTCAATTTTTAAATATAATTATTTGTTGCAAACCTTGTTAACTTCCTTCTCGATGAGTTTGTATTTTTTACTCCTAGCTAATTTTTCAGGTGGTGCATTCGTCACTTCGAGTTTGCTCCTCTGCTGCTCAGCAACTCTGAGTTTAGTCTCAGCCTGTCGTGATTCTCCCTGATAAGCCTGATAAGTCTTCATTGTCGTGTGCAATTCGTGGAGTACCCTGAGGATTTCCTCGTGCGTCTCATAACCAATTTCACGACAGCGTCTGTAAATTCTCTGGACATCTTCCATAACTTGATTGAGACGTCCCACGAGATGAGTACTGTAAACCTCGGAGAGGGCTGCGTGGTCCCTGCTCAGGGATTTTGTTTCGTTCACTAGCTGCTGCCAGCAGGCATAACTCGAAAATAAGGGCCACTGCTCCCTCCTGGGGGAAATAACATAAGTTTTCCAGCTATAGCTTTTCACCTCTTAAATTTATTCAACCGTTTAGGAACCGCGAGAAACCCTGAGTCGAAATCCCAAAATCTTTTTCAACTTCATCGTGAAATATTTCCGAAATTACGGCAGATAGCGATTTTTTCGATAAGATCATTTTTGTAGAGCCAATTGAGAATTACAAAAAATTTAATTACAAAAATTTCACTATCTCCCTCCAGTTCCAAGATATCGGTTAAAAATCGGCAATGCAATTTTTCTGGAATTATTTCATGAAAAAATGACTGATCATCGGATACTAACTTTTGTTTTTGCTCCTTATGCCTCAATTGAATACTTCTAGCCATTTTATCCAGTGATTTACTGTAATCTAACTCAAGTTCCGCTCTTCTGCGGAAGAAGTCCTGGAGTTCCGCTACAAGTGCCACCTGGGACTCCATCCTCACGTCGAGACATCTCAGCTGCTCGTTCAATTGCAGCCGTATATCTGCAGAATAACAAAAAAAAATTGCATACTTCATTCCCAGTGACTCGTGACAAGGGGGGGGGGAGTCTATAATCGAATCTCCACCGGTGCATTCTGCACAGAACAGAACAACCAACTTCCGGCCAGCGAAGGGAATAATAATGGCCGTCAGCCGGTGAATGATAAAAAGGGAGGGAAAAATATGATTTCGACGGGTTTTCTCTCTCCGGACGCTGAATAAAGTACTCGGTATTTTTTTTTTCCTCGTCGAGGGGAGATACAACTTTTACGCGGCTTTCTGGAAGAAGAAGCTGCTCCATGAAACGGCGTGAGGTCTCTCCGTCGGCTATTAATAAAACTCCTCTCATTTTCGGGTGTTTCAACAATTACACGCGCCCAAGAATAACTGGACAATTTCAAAATAATTTCGCCATGTTTTTATCATCCGAGAGCACTTGACCCCGAATTTTACAGCAATCTGATAAATTAATTAAGTGATAGGAAAGTAGTTAGATATGGTTTCTAATGAGACAGAGATAGATCCCCTATAATAAAAGTCAAGAAACGAGTAATCAATAAAGTCTAGTGCGTGGTCTGTTTTCATTTCATCCCCTCTCAACGCACATATGTGCGGCGGATGTAACTGAGCCGGGGTAAATATTGCACCCTAAAAAAAAATACGTTAATACAGAAAGGAGAGCCATAATGTTGAAGAGAATAGCTGAGGGTGGGGAGGGAAGGGGGCAAGACACGCGATGAAATACAGTGAGGACATGCTACAGGCGCTCTTTTTAAAGATGAAAAAATAAAAAGCCATGTTGACTATAACAGACTGCTCGTTATTTTGCCCTCTGTCCCACGTGAAAATCACTCATTTTCGGGCTCTCTTTGTTTATCCCTTTATTTCCCTGGTGCATGATACAACCCTTCCCTTTCCCCTCCATATTTTTTTTTTGTTCTGGGCAACTGCACGTTCATTCAACCGCCCACCACATCCAGGGAACACAAAGCAACGACGAAAATGTGTCATCCTTCGGGCATTATTTAATTTTTTTTTTTTGCCAGACGTTTCATTCCGAAGAGTTGTAATTTCCTCCGGTGCTCTGTGATTATTCAAATAATATCGAAATATTTTTTCAGATGATGATGGTTCTGAACCTGAAACCTATTCATTAGGGTTTGTTCAGGGAAATGATCTGGGGATTGGGGTCTATTTTTGGAGTAATTGGGGTTTTGCTTGAGGGTGTTCAAAGGCTGAGCTCGTGTGACCTTTCAGTCGAATCGAATTGTTGAATTTATAAACCATGTTCAAGCCCACGTAATTGTTCGAATGGAACCCTGAATTGTTCCATTGCAATCGTGTTTCCAATTGATCCATCCAATTGTTCCGTTGGAACTTCATGAATCCCTGGAACCGACGATTCCAAGCCGAACAAGAGGTTTTGAACCCGTGCCCTTCAGAACACTTTGTCATCGCGCTAACCACTTGGCCAAAGCGCCACTGAATCTTCTCCATCCAATTTTTTTTCCATTTCTCGAGGTTCCGTATGGCGATCGCCACGTGTGGACCACATGTCGATGAACTTGAGTTTCTTTCCATTAAAAAAAAAACCACTCCCTCTTGCCACTCAACTAATACATGGCTGTCTCGAATTATTGGAAACCAAGTGCGATACATGTCGTGCGCACATTCTCCAAACTATTCCCTTCGCGCTCCAACCACTGAGGGATTTTGTATCGATTTTCTTCCCTTCTCCTTCAACACAAACCACCACCGATGATTCATCGCTCCTTTATACCACTATTCAATCACCCGTAATTAATTTTTCTCATTTTATTCCCAGAAACCCGTTGTTCGTCGGGATTCTCAATGTCTGATTTATTCATGCGGTTTGTGTATTCATTTATGAGAGAAATTCCGTTTTATTTTTCCGGGAGGCGCGATTTTATCTACTCTGAGGTCTGTCCTTTCTCACATAAAGCTGATAATCCCCTCGTGGAAGGAAACAGAATCTTGAGTTTATAAAACCTCACGATTTCCAAACTCCATTATTTCTCTTAAAAATATTGACGCTAACGATCCAAAAATCATTAATTATCTCGATCTAATCATTCAACATTCTCCCAAAATTTCTCAAACATTGCCAATGCAATCGCATCAACAGTCGATCTGCTTAAACACTGCACTTTCCCAGGAAAATTGTGCAATGATTTGGAAAACAAAATTAAAACAAATAATACCTCTCGTCCATGTCTCCCTGTCCTGCCTGGATGATGACAACTTGAACATGCCGATTTATTTAACGCTCCGCGGAACTGTCACTCTTGATTAAAAACTGATTAGTCCATTCAAATAAAATGTCCACTATTTTTTTCTTCACTTTATCAGTCGCTGTAATGCCGTGTCAGTTGAAAATGTCGCAAATGAAAACGCTCACCTCGTCATTCTCACCAAAATGCTGGCGTTTGCCAACTTTACACGGCCTCGTAGTCGTTATCGTTGTACTGCGTCGCATTTCCGTCTCTCTTATATTTATAACAAACCTAACGAGTTGGAGAAGGAGTCAAGTTTATTTTAATGCAATCCACATTTTTTTTTTTCAACAATTACCGTTTTTCGGATGACGGAGTGCGACGTCTCGGGTTATTCACTTTTTAATGAACCGTTAATTAATTATCGCCATTCCTCGATTGTGATGATGACTCGTTTTAATGTTGATAGAGTTTTTTAATATTTTTCTGAATTCATTTAATATTTCTCTTCATTTATTAATCGACGAATAAATTTTACTGTGTGGGAGGTGCGTCTGACGTTTCAATGCGCGATTTTTTATTCAATTTAAATTCAAATTATTTATACATCTTCTGTTCGTCCTGGTACATACCAGAAAATATAGATTTAGATAATTATAGATTTGTTATAAATTTTCCTATGGAGAAATGCAATAAAATTGATTTTCAAAACTCATTAGATCAGTGAATCAATTCGTGTTGACGATTGCCTTCGAAATTTTTCGTATTTTTCCCATCCCGAATTCCCCCAAAATTCAAAATCATTAATTTGTTTACATTCGCATCTTGGAAATCCAACGGGGCCCAAAAGGCCCGCTGTCCAAATGAATTACCGAGAATCACGTGTTGATTCGTTGCATGAGTGAGAATTCGAAAATAAACATCGAGTGAGAACCAAATGGACGTTAAAATAAATTCAGTGGCTGTTACTCCGACATGTGGGTTACGACCTACTAAAATCGAATTAATTCAATTAAATCGATCGATTGATCGGATCTAATGCCCCAGTCCACCTGATGCGTCTGGCAATCGCTATTGCTATTGGAGAAAAATAGAACACGTCACAGTTTCCTAGTAGGGACTTTAACGGATGTTGAGGTATAAGTCTGGATAAGAAATGTTTTTAATTCTCAAGTTGATGACGTGATTTTTGATGATCCGAACACCGCGAGTGCCGTGAGCTCACTGAGGAATGGGATACGTTCCTCGATTTATCTCGCAAATTAACCGCAATTACCCGTGGGTTTCTCTGCCATCACTGAACACATGTTAAGTGCAGACAGTTTAGAGATCGTCACGGACCTAGTGACATTGATTGCAAGTACAAAAAATTATTCTCCTTTTTCATTTTCAAAAGATCATGACGATTTGATTAATTATAAAGCTAATGAGTTCATTAACGGCCATTAATTATTTATCTTTGATAATTTACAGGGGGAATAATCGGTAATTATTTCTTTGGGTTTCTTTTTCTTTTTTTTTGCGGTTGTACCGAGAGGATTTAAGTAATTGCGAGTACATTAATAATGAGGCATCATTTTCATTCATATCGAGATCAGTTTGGGAGGGGTGATCGTATTCAGAGGGATATGTCGGGATCTGGGGGAGATAGCGATTTTTTTTGTAGGACCTTTTTTGGAGAGGGGAGTGAGAGCTTGAAGAAAGGTATTCATGGAAATTTTTGTAGTTTTTGTAGGTTCGGAGATATTTCGGGGGAAAGGAGTTGTTAAATCGAATTCTAGGTGGAGATGGATTTGTGAATGATCGATAATTTTTGTGGTTCTTTGGCCTTTGCGGGAGTACGATTGAAAAAAGTCAGAGTTCATTTTGAAGATGATGAAGATAGCTGGACAGTGGCGGGGGATTTAATGGATTTCACTCTGCCACTTTCGAGTAATTGACAATCGAAATTCTTCCAGTTTTATTTTCAAATTCATTTATCCATTATAAAGTACTCCGATTCGAGACGAATATCTTCTTACTCAATTATGAAATTCAAGCAAATCAGATTTAATTCTGAAGATAATAAAAATATCTACAAAATGGCGGAGGTTTCATTGAATTTCCCTCTGCCAATTCCGAGTAATTGACACTTGAAATTTCCTCCCACTCGAGCGCTCGTCGACTTAATTTACTGATTAGACGTAAACTGAATTTAGAGCCTAAATCAATTAATCAATTTAATTTGGAATTGTTCGGGGGTAATTTCGCGTGAATTTGTTGGCGTGAGGATGTACAAATATAGACAATGGACGAGTGAAAAAAAAAATGAAGTACCGAGACAATTATTATGATTATGGCGAGTGGAAACGACAAATGGAGAGAATTCATCGATCGATGTCGCATGACTCCAGGCAACTGAAGATACAATGAAAGTACCGAGGGAGGGGGGTAATTGGAGCTTATGGCGCACCTAAATAATGTACAATGAGCCGTGGCTTGGATGAGAAGAGATGAAGAAGCGCCAATGCAAAGGGGATTGATATGCAGTAGCTTCTCCATCGGCTTCCTTCCTGTTGGAATAATAATTGTGGGAGAGGAACAACAACAACAATTAACATCGAAAACAATCATAACAATCATCCAGCATTTTTCCCCCCCACAAAAAAAAAATGCGACGAAATTTCCATTTTTCAAATAATCAAAAAAAAATCTTTTACATGGATTTTATATGGATTTATCTCGAGAATTATCGATCCTACGATTAAACCGTACAGGACTTTTTTCGAGCTGATCATATTTCCAGGAGAAGCGATCTTTTCACATTTCTTTCTAAAATCAATAGATTCGGAGATAAGCCCGTGTTTAACTCGGGGAAAAATTCGGGCTCAACGCCGAAAGCGGGAATTTCCCAATTTTCTCGGTAGAATCGAATTAATGACATCCACAGGGTTAAATTGGACTCATCAATTACCGAAAAAATAATTCGCGTTGTGAAAATAATTAAAAGCTCAATTACTTCCGTCAATTGCACTGAGGGGGGAATTAAATTCCACATTTGATAGGTCAACGGACAAACGAAGAGGTATATAAAGACATTATTTGCCGTGAAATAATTCCATGAGAGATGAGGAAAATCCCCGGGAAATTGGATCTCAATGTTATTTAATGGAGACTGTCGTCAGGCCAAAAAGCCAGAGGCGTTTGTCTACAATGAATTTATTGTAAAATAGTACACCCGCATGAACCGACCTATGACCTCGAGAAATAACCGGTTCATTCCCCTTTTCAATTTCAGTTTTTACTGCTCTTTCATTGTTCGAGTTGAATTTAACCACCGGCAACGATAAAATCAACTCTCCCTCATTTTAAATCCCGAAAATGCATTTGCATCTCATTTAAACTGATATATCAGCAAAGATTTTCTGGGAGAAATAATTTTATCAGTGCACCGGTTAAATTGCTATTTCAATCGAGATATCGGGTACATCCGACTGCAAATTGGAGTTTTATCGAATCCTCGGGCTTCATCCGATATGGAAATTCGCGAGATCGCGATTTTATCGCGGTATTATCGCGTTATCATCGCGTTATCATCGATTTCGTGTTTTCTTGAGGATCGGATTGGAGGATGGAGAGTTGGGGGGGAAATATTTGGGTCTCATCTGTTGAGATTAAATGGGAACTTTCAGTGATTATAGGGCAAAGTCGATATATTTTCTCTGAGAAAATCGTGAGGAGATGAATCACGTTATGGAAGTGGCACGTTAACCCCTCGCTCTCCTTCAAAGATAACAGAATTGGATGGAAAGTGGAGGCATTTCCGGCTGCTGTTCAGACACTGATGGTTTGATGGACCGGAACAATTTTATTTTTCATTCCGGGGATCTGTTGAAAATTCTAAACACGAGATTTTCCGTGAAGTGACGATGACGCCGCGTCAAAACACATTTAGATTCTCCGCTGTTCGTCACTTTGACTATTTTTGAATACTAGATCTATCATGAAGCTCAGAATCACTGGAGGGAAGTGAAACAAATGGAATTTTATTTTTTTTTCACATAATTATCGAGTCTTTGTCATTTTCTAATGATTCTAGGGCAATCAGGAAAATATTACATTCTTCTCACTCCAGTTTTCGCTGAATATCTCGGAATCCAGTGAAAATAACGAAATTTTCATATGAAGCTTTTTTTGAGGTCTTGAAATCCCCAACAAAAAAGTCTTCACAAAAATTTTCCTATCTCCCTCAGCCACGGAGATATACCACTGAGAAACCAGTGATAAACTCTTCAACCTCTAATCCAACCATCAATTAACCCTCAATCATCAATTTATCTCAAAAACTACGACTTCTACAAAAAAATCAGTATTCACCTTTTCTCCAGGAAATTAAATGACCCCCAAAAAACGTCCCCAAAGTTTCCCCCTAAAACCAATCCCTCCAGAGATAACCGACAATTTACCAAAAAATTTCCGCTGTCCTGTCAAAATGTCCCCATCAATTTTCCAATTCCCAAAAATCCCCGAAACTCTCGCCCAAAAAAAAAAAAAAAAAAATCAAATCCCCGCAAAAAACATACCTGGAAACACGTCCTTGGTCTCGGGACTGGAAGGATGGATCCAGCCATTCCTCTGTTGAATAATACACTGAAACATGATGCCTCGATACCAAAACTCAATCTCTGATCAATCATCCAGTCATGGTGTCATCATCACCGTGTGGTCCACCCTCAATCACCACCACTACCACAACCCGATGATATTTACTCATGAATAATCACTGCATTGAGTTCTTAATCCAAAGACGTGGAAAAAAAAAAATTAAGTAAAATGGTTAGATGCTGGAAGGGTGTGCACGAACCGCTAGCTGGGCTGCTGGGATCGAACTAGATGGCTGGCTGGTCGCCAGGCAACCAGGGGATATTTTCCGTCCTTGTCAAACCTGAATTGCCGTTCTCCCTTTGTGCTGGATGTTCCGCCCCCCCTTTACCCCCCTAGCCCCCGCACTTCGGATGCTGCGCCACTCACGAATCTTCACTCTCTCTCACTTCCGGAGTACAGTCCCTTTTACCACCCCCTCTCATGAATTAAAAAACAATTTTAAAAATTATTTTTTGATTTTTTTTTTTGAAAAAAACGTGTCCATCACGAAATTTGGCGCGATATTTTACGTCGCGAATTTTTTTTTTTAGGAATTCGGGGTCAAAATCGTGGGTCAAAGTTGTGGGTCAACTGTAATTATTTTATTGTTTCACTGGTATTTTAAATTATTTATGTGAGTTCAGCAGAATTTTTTTTTTAATTGAAAATTGAGGGCGGGGGCGTGGGGGTAGATTTTTTGGGTTGGGTGGGTTTATTAGACCCACGTGGGGTGTGGGTGAAATGGGAGTTGAAGTGATAGAAAATGCGGATGCACGATGGGTGTTGTGAACAGTTCTGAACTCGACTGAGCGAATAGAAGCCGCCAGGACTTGCGGGCAATATTCCCCCACGTTAGCGAACACCGGGTCTGAGGTGGTGTGGGTGAAAAAGAGGATAGAGAGGAGAGACGAGGCGATTTATTAACGGTGCGATGGCGATCCGATGAGTAAAGAGGGTTGGATAAGGACAGGGATATACGAGGTGATTCTAGGAGATTATTCTGTTGTACAGTTTGTTTATGCAGTATAGGAATGAGGTGAACTCGTCTGCAATAAGATTTGCAAAATGCGATTATTTTGCCGAGCGATGACCCGGGATTGACGGAAATATTTCTGAATTTGTGGGGTAATTTTTGGGGGTCAAATGACCCACACTAGGTCAAACGGGGATAAATCGAAGATTGAAGGTCAAAAAAAGGGTAAAACCGATTGAAATAATGGGAAAAAAAAATGGTGATATCCTCAAGGTCACGTGAAGATCGAAAATATTGATCGACTGATCCCAGACCCGGAGCCATGACCCCAGAATAATGAGACTATCCATCTCCTTCGCACCTGCATCACCCGCCGGCGCATTTCCAACAGAATAAAAAAAATGGACTTTTTCCCTTCTACTCATTTCACTGTACAATGTACCGAGAGCCGCTCGATGAAAACTTAAACACTTGTTGACCAATGCTGGGGCCGGTAAAGTCTCGCGTGACGGCCTTTCACTCGGCTCGAAACATCGGGCCCCAACTCCATACACCTCCAACCGCAAACAGAATATTCCATGTGTTCGAGCCTTTGACCTGGGGATTTAGATGTG